CTTGCTGCTAAAGACATTGTTGTTCTTAGTCGAAGTTTCGGACTTTCTGTAAAGGTAGCTGGCCTGCCGTATGAACTAATCGTAACAGGCACTGTGACTAACGTTGGCAACGTCAGCGACACCTTCGCCCAGAACATCCTCGATGATCTTTCTCACCATCTAGATGACGCGCAAGTCGAAAGTCCACGGCGACGCACAAAGAGCCTAACTCGATGTAATAACTGAAAATTTCAAGCACTCAGTTTTACATAAAATAATCGGGACTCTGAGAGAACCAGTCAAAAACTCAGTCCGGCGAAACCTCAAACGAATGTACTTTGTGATATTGTAACGTTGTTTTGTACACAGTACTATAATATTTCTGTACACCTTCCGGATCTGTAGCTCAAAGGCAGGTAGATGTAATCTGTGATTGCAATAAAACTTAACTTTTTTTATGTAACAAAACTTTAACGTGAACTTGAAATTTCTGATGCTTCGCTCACGGAAAGACATCACTGGCGAGCTGTGGGCAGCAGAACCGTCCCACCTTCAGGTGCGGGCTCCTGCACCACTTCCATACCCTCATGTAGCAGTATGCAGGGTCATCATCTAATGAACATCTCAATATACCATAGAAAGAAGTATTCCGAGCAATTCGTTAGATAGGTGTTAGACAAAAAAATGTAAAATTTCCATTAATTAATACTTGGGGAAAAGTAATTATTTTTTGTGAAAACAGACACACACAAAGGCCTAACACTAGAAAAGTTTATCGTTACTGAAATCTGTTTACCATCGGACTGAGAGCTGAGACAATTGCCTTCAAATCATCAATCGAGACCGGCTCGAAGAAACTGTCACCATATGCATCGAAAGTCAATTTAAACTGAGACGCGGTCGCTTCAGTCGAATACCACATTAAATGGGGCCGCCTAAAATATAACAGAATGTTATAAAGTTAACAGCACAGCAGAATAAAAGTTTAAACAGAAAGTTCGAAAGCAATGAAACAAATATTATCAAAAATTTAATACGCATCTTGGCGCTGTTTACGGTTTACTATGTATGCATCTGCATAATTACTATTTATATTATAGTGCACTGCAACCTTTGGAAAGCAAACTGTAATCGTACTGATTGGCCAACTATAAAATGTGATTGCCTGATAATCTGATCTAACGTTGGTCAAAGAGAGGAAATCTAAATCTGGCGAATAAATTTTGGAAACGCCTTTGTCATGGAGCGGTCAAGACATTAAGCATGTCAAGACGATTACACCGATGCATATATACATAATATGCATACACATATAACATTATGAATGTCCACTGAGTATATGTGTAAATAACATATCTTTTCTGCATAAAAGAAGCGGGTAAAAAAATATGAATTTGCATGTCAGGCTTATGTTAATTAGCCCTAATCTCCCGCAAATCAGAGTTCATCGCGCACGCCACTTCTCGGTTATTTCTAGATGTCTTTAGGAACGTCATAGCTCCAGAGTATCTACAATCGTAGGTGCATCTCGTATCATTTTGTTGCAGAACAATTTGCTGTTCACCACCATTGTAGTTTCAGCAAGCGAAATCGTAAGTTCTCAATTAAAGAGAGTTATCACTGGATCAATCCCCTAGGTAAACAGGGAGAAGGGGCAGCGCAATACCTGCAAAATCTAGATCTGCATGAGAATCCGGATCTGGATCTGCTAATGTATTTCATCTATTCCGACAAAACAGTAGCGAAAGGTCTTGCTGGATATCTACCAAATAAAAATTTATCTAATTTTGGCACTTCTGTACATTAGCGGATATATCTGATCTTGTTGATGCATAGGCTGCAAATCTCAAGACTGCAAATTACAGTAAGGTACCATGAAAACAGGCTCGACTGCTGGCAACAACGGACCAACCATTGCGCCTTAATAACGTTGTACAACCCGGACTCGATTATGCTCTGAACTCTGGCGACCAGCCTATCAGCAACGACGCAATACGTGTTCTCGGCTAAAACAGAAGCAGGGTATCGATTAAAAACCAGAAAATCATTTACTCGGATGCTGCACGATGCTGCCACCATTTTCTAAGACCAACCGCTCGAGAGTTTTCTTCGGAAAACTGGTTGAACCGTTTATTATGCAAAACTCTAAGCCGTCGAAGACAGTTGACTTCTCATCATAGTCACGCACAGCCGCCCGTTCGAATTGGGTGCCTAGCTGAGGGCGTGGCTTGGAAGATGAAGGTTTATGACGAGGATGGATTGAGGAGCGAGTATCAACGCCATCCATTGCACGATTATCAATGATCCTAGCGAGCCTTCCGGCATATACCTCAAAAACAAAGAAATTAGAGGAGTGAGGGCTTGTCTTCCCTCGTCGAACCTCCTTCAGGTTCAGAAATTCTTCGACGGTCATGCAGTCAGACCATGCCTTGTCTTCGCGTACTTTTACTACCCGAGGGAATCGCAGCGTGTAACCGATGCCGAAAGCGCCGCTGGGCACAATTTCTGTTGCTCTGATCTGCAAAAGCGGAAGCGAAAGTAAATGTCACGCCACAGCTATTGGCTGAGCAGCAGATGGCGCTACATTAAACAATTATTTACATAAGTTAACTTTACTAACGACCGTTTCATTCTGAGGCGGCGGCTAAAATAGTAGATTTTGCTACAGCAGGAAAGAACAATATTCTGCATCCACTCACGGGATTTTTATCGCGTACTCGCATATACATTGCGCTTAAAAACGCCTAGGGGACCTTTGCTGAAATGCACTGAGCAATGATATAGCGATACTGCGGTAGTCACTTACCCATGGCTGGAGACAACGCTGCTGGGGAAAGGAAATCTTATAACCGTTGGACTGTGACTCGCCATTTCACGTTCATGAATGGGGCTATTTGTGGCATCATTCAGCTTAAGTTGCGACGCTAATTTTCATTTCTACGCCATCAGTCATGTGTACCTTATTTTTTAGAGTCTGAATCTACAACCACGTGGCAAGCCTAGCACGTAGTCTTCCTTTACTTTCCCACAACGGAGTACTTAAGTATTTGC